GAGTCACGAGTCACAGGAAATCGGAAGTGATGTCATGCTGGACAAGAATCAGAGTCCGAATAACATTTTTTCATATTCGGACTCGAGTCCGAATAATCACTTCGGTACTTAATTGATGGCTGAATTGTAAATATATTGATAAATAAAATTTCAGTTTGCAATACTGTCCATCCCGGCTTTAAGCATGGTCATCAGGAGAAAGCGCAAGCGTGCTTAATGCCGAAGCGTGCTTGAGGGCGAAGTAAACATTGTCATTAAAAGTCAGAAACTTTTACGGACCCAAACTTTTATGCAGAACATTTTCTGAGCTGTTCCCTTTGTTCGCAAGTAGTGGTCGTGCAAAAGTGTGCGCTGTCATTTTTACTTGCCGTAGTAGTTTTTGTTTGTTTATTTTGTTTTGTGGTCGAAAGGGAAAGGAAAACTTTATTTAGATGGCCAGTCACGATACAGCACACTTCGCTTACTCACTGCCTGTGCGTACCATTGCCCGCTGTGCCACATTCATACCACCGCCTTCATCCCACCTCGCGCATGATACATAGATCTAATCATGATTATCGGATGGGCGAGGGACAAAGATGAAATCGCAGCCAGCCTCCCTTTCTCATCTCCCAGACTCTTTTTGTATTTTTTCGTCTGTGTGTAGCTTTGCCCTAGGCTAGATCCAATGTCCACGCACGCGGCTGTGTGCATCCCTCTGCCTTCCTCTCCGCGCGTATGGGTGTGTGTCCCCCATCACTTGCGCTCTTTATGTTTCACTTAACCCTCTGAGCGCTGAGCCATTTTTACCGACTTCCCTTCAGGGCTAGGTTTATTTGAGAAAAATGCTAATTTTCAATATGGCTATGAAAAAGCTCATATCTTTCTTATTTATCATAATTTCTAATTACAGTAAAAAGAAGGAAAAATGTGTCTTAAAATGAACTACCCAAATGTCTGGTCAGATGTGTTTTTTAATGATGTTGTTGTTGTTGGTATCAAAATCCTTATCATTTTTAGTCCAGCCTGCTTGGAGATCAGCAGGAATATCGATGTCCCCTTCTGGGTTTAACCTCGCTAGATCTAGATCTAGATCTACCACCCCCATCATTCACACGTAGATCTAAATCTTCTATTTGAGGACGTAATCCTTCTAACTCTTTATCACAGTTGATCGATTCCAGAAAAATATTGGGTAAATCTGAGTCTAAATCAGCAGGCGAATCCGACATTTTGAAGACTGTAAACAATATCCCAGAAAATTGCCGATAAAAAAACTCCCAAGCGATCCCCGACTGTGAAATGCGCGGCCAGCGGCACTAATAAACAATGCACTGGTGGACTGTAGTCACCAGCAGTTTAAAAAATGCCTATTATCATGTCAGCTGTATAGTTTCTAAACTCATGTCGGATCACGACCACGCGCACGCAGAGGGTTAACACACTTCACTGCTGCGGTGTAGACTGAGTTCGAACTTCGATGGGTCATCATGAAAGTATTGACTGTCTGTCTTGTAATTTTGTAAGTGAAGCGTGCCTGAAGCCGAAGTTACCGTGCTTAAAGGCGTGTAATTTATATATAGCAAAAATTCGGTAAGAGCTGTATAGCGTGCTTGAGTCCAAAACGTGCTTTATGCCGGCGTGCTTAAAGCCGGCACGGACTGTACCTCCTAAAGTTTGTATTTCCAACTAAACCGAAAGGTGCCTTACTGACATGCATGTACTTTAAACCTGAATGGGCCTAAGGGAGTGTATACAGACCCGGTAACCGGGAACAAAGTCACAAAGTATACAGACCCAGTAGGGGAACTCTTTTGTGATTTCGGAGAATTTCAGCGCCCTCTTGGCTCAGGGTAGACCTAGGTTCTTCTAGATCTATGGTCTAGATCTAGATCTAGGCAGACAGACATATAAGTCTTTGATCTAGTTTCGCGGCCAACCTAGATCTAAATGAAAATTGCGGATGTCTTTTCGATGAACGATCATTTTTCCTCCGTTTTGGAGTCTGCGGAATCACAATTTGAAGAATAGAACAAGGTACAATGTCATAATTTCAATCAAGCAGCCCCCCCCCCCCCTCTCTTTCTCTCTCTGTCTCTCTCTCTCTCTCTCTCTCTCTCTCTCTCTCTCTCTCTCTCTCTCTCTCTCTCTCTCTCTCTCTCTCTCTCTCTCTCTTTCTCTCCTCTCCTCTGTGTATCGCTCGCCTTCTCTTTTTCTTTGCTTGTTTCTGTCTTTCTTTGTCCCCACCTATTTCCCACTCTATCTTTTTCTCGTTCCCTCCTGCCAACTGGGGGCATGTCATATACATTTTGCTAGCACCCCCCCCCCCCTCTCTCTTTCTCTCTCTCTCTCACACACACACACACACACACACACACACACACACACACACACGATTTCTACCGGGTCTGGGGGGTGAAACTTCCCGTAATCACAAAAGAGTTCCCCTACCGGGTCTGTATACTTCGTGACTTTGTTCCCGGTTACCGGGTCTGTATACACTTTGTGGGCCTAATTACTTGATCTAATGAGACCTGTGTACTCAATAGTTTTCGGTCAATTGTCACTTTAGTAAGGTAGTGTCAATTGCCACTGAGTGACGCGGTGGCCATTGACACCAGCGTCAATTGCCACCGAGTGAAGCGGTGTCAAGTCTGAAAACAACGCTCTGTCTTTCTATTCATAATGTGTTACGAACACATGACATGAGAATAAGTTAGATCTAACCCAGGGGTGAAAGTTTTCCTGCTCCTGCCGGGATTTCCGGCTACTTGAACTCATCCGTGGGCCTCCCTCCGGCTACACCGGCCGGGCAAGTCTTCCATAGCCAGAGTCGTGACAGTCATTTTTATTTCGTCCACGTGCGACAAATTTCCGTTTTTTTAAAACATAGATATCTATATCTGCAGACGGCCCTCACCAGTACTTTCGGTAGGGCTAGGTATTCTTCATTTTAAAAAATGCGAATAAATAGGTATCTAGTATTAACAAAATTCGATAGCTGAAAAAAAAAAAAGGCAGAAACTACCAGGCCCCGGGAATTTGGTAAAAATCGCGGAGACCCAGGAATGGCACACGGAAAAGTCGGGAATTCCAATAAGGTCAGTAAGTTCATTTTTTCTGGTCGCGTTTGTGATATTCGTTTGGCTTTTCCGGGTCCGACAGTACGTTTCACGCGAACAGGCGGCTATGGGGGCATGCGAAAGTGTGTGACACCGAGGCTCGATCGGGAATATCAAGATCTACTTTTCCCTTTCGTTACCACCCAGAACTTGGCCGGTGATAGACTGATAGATAACGCAACATTTATGACTTGCAGGTTGTGCACTATAAACGCTGTTCCGCCATGAAAATAAATCAATATTTTGTCTCTGTGCAGTCACTTGTGAAAAAAGAAAAGAAAAGCGTCGTCTGATTGTTAACTTGTTGGGCTCGTCATCGTGACTGGTCAGTGAACTTCTGCGTGTTCGTGTCTCATGATACGACATAGTAGGCGTAGATCTACTGGCGATAGTTGGGGTCGCCAAAGTTCATTCAAAGTCTGAGAGTTTGGAAGTATAGGACTCCAGGGGGAGGAGGGGGGGATTATTGATTTATTCTTAAAGATCAAGATACTCTCAGTGGGGAGGGTGTGGAAGGCAACACCAGAGGAGAAAAAACTTGGGAGCAGATTTTTTAATTTATTATTAGAGCTCTCTACAAAGCGCGCTTTGGTGCCGGCAGTGTGTGGAATCGGGATCCGGCGTACCTTGTAAGCCTTGTTATCGAGCTTAAGTGTTTGTGTTTCATTGGGTAGGTGATAGTAAATTATAACTATATTTTAGCTTTCTGTTCAAGACTGGCAGATTTTCAGAATCAGTGTCACTGCATCTTGACCTCTTTCAGTTCCTACAACTCTTACACTGAATAGGTCTACTTGAGCCATTCAAGTTTTTACTCTACTTTGAGTTTGAGCAATAATTTTTGTCTTTCAGTTTTATAACATGAATCATGACGCCAAGTGTTATCGAATTTTTTTCCTTTGGCTCAACACCTTTTACGTCCATGTAACAACTCATATATGTCTGAAATTTACTGAAAAACAATCATTAAAGTTTAATATTAAAGGCAAAGGTATTCTTTTACTTTCCCTCCTGTCTTTAAGTACTTGATACGCTGAACACGAATATCAACTTCATTCCGTCGCAAATTACAGTGGAGTCCACTTATAACGAGTCCTGAAACAACGAGAAGTCTGTTATAAAGACACTATTCTAAAAACGCTGCTTTTTTCTCTTCTTTATCTTTGTAAATAAAATACTGCTGTTGCGCAATCAGACAGTCATGCGAGTCGGTTATAACGGAATATTGCTGCTTCTGTGCACTGGGCACAGACCAGTTAAACATATAAAATCTCGCCAGTTGAGAAAGTTGTTGGTGATCCAGAGAAAAAAGAATGGGAGAGCCCACGCGAACCAACGATGAAGGCCGGAGCGAATGAGTTCATTGAGTGGGGAGGGTGTGGCATACGCAGACAAGCAGAACACATCGCGTGATAGGCCAGCCCAGTCTAGATTATCTAGGCAAACCGTGCCTCTCACTTCTCTGGTGCGGGATGGAGAGGTCACAATGCTGTGATAGATGGAGTGAATGTGTGACATGCACACGCAGACGCAACTCACCACAGGGTGTGGTGGGTGGGGGACAACACAGCGGGCGAGTTAGCCTAGAGCCAGAGCCCTTTCTTTCTGATCGCCAACGCCGAGCTGTCAACTTTGCTTGTGCTAGAGAAGAAACCTGATTCGATTTTTGATCAAGTGAGACCTAGAGATCATGTTGAACAAAATCATCATCAGGGGAAATATAAAAGGGAATAAACAGAACACCAAACTCATAGATTAGACCTAGGTTACTATTTCTCTTGAATTTATTACGGGATCCCTTATATGAGAATCCCTCCCTCTTTATAACAGGATTCCACTGTAATAGTTTTTGAAAAATTTGATCGTTTTTAATAGAGCTATATCACACTAGGCCTAACCGCGTAATAATTTGTGCGCTTTGGACCTAATAAGTTTTCAATGACTCTCAAGCTTTTGAAGTTAACCGACTTTGGCGGCCATTTTCTTGCTAATTGAACCTCCAAAACCAGGTGACCCCCATCTTCTCTAACATAATGACAAATTTCTATACTTCTATTCAAGATAGATTAGATGTCAATGGTATTTTTTTCATTGAAAGCAAGGCAAATGAACAGGCTTTATTAAAAAGATACCAATAACTCCACATACCCAAAAATTGACGAGCGCCTCATTCCACCGCGTCGTGACACAAATGGTTTTCAAGAAAATGTACAACATTTGTTTGCAAAACATCAAAGCCAATGGATGGGGAATAAATGCAGGGGGCATAATGCCTGGAAACCCCCAGATTTGTATTGCTAGTGACATAATGATTATGCAAATGTTAGGTAGTGCTCTATGAGTTAATTTGTTTCTTCTCAGGTGTTTAAATTGTCTCTTGAATTATATTAAATCTCTGTATGTGAATTATTATTCTATAACCTCTACTTGGCACTTGTAATACTTAGAAAACATTGTCCACATCCCTTATGGCTTCTGCACACTCTTTGGCCTCTATGCAGCCTTTCTTGACCAAGGCCACCCTTTTTTCCTTGTTATTTTTTCACCTCACAAAAGGGTAATATTACATTGGTTCAACTTTCAAGACACTACCCCC